TCCACATGAAGTCCTACAAAAAAAGCAGAAGCTGTTGGTAGTTGTGTTTTGTTCATGGAAACAGACACAAGGTGTTGAGGAAATTGTAACACCCTTAATCTATCTCTAGGATCTGTCCAGAAAATAATAGGGACTAACCCAGGTACCACAGCCTCAGCACAGTCAAACACCACGCACTATGATGCAGTTACGGCAAATATACAAAGAAACTGCCTAATCAAACACGCTCGAACACCTAATGATAACGACACATAGCATGGGCTAGTAGGGTAAATCAATAAATGATATCAGAGTCCACAAAACAGAACAAGAATGATTGAGTTTTTAGGTTAGAAAATGTTGTCTGTAGGGTTCCAGTAGAAAATGAAGTGGACAAATATGCTACTGCTAATTGAAAAGTGAGGATTCGACTAGAACTGTACCTGATGAACGATGCAAATATACACAGATCAAATCATTGTTATTATTAAATATTGTAAGTAAATACAGGTAACAGATACATAGATTTAGAGAAAGGTAGTTCAGCTTAGACTCTAACTAAACAGTATTATAAGATAATTTCCAAGGTTTCATAGTGCTGGATGGTACTGTTATATTTTTCCAAGGCGAGAATAGAGCAGGAGTAATTGTATAATAAATATATCAAAATAAACATAGTTAGTATCTAAGCCACTATGCAGTATATCAGTCCAAGCTATATGGTAGATTCCATGTGATCAAAAGCAAGATAATTCATTTCGTCGCGAAACTGGAACGAAACCACACTTACGACATCCACACCAACTTAAGTCCAGGGAGACAAGTACAGAAGCGCAAACTAGATAGACTCACATTATGTGACCAGGTGCATGCCTTATTATTTCAGTGATATATTGATAAAGACCTTGGAGTGTATATATTTTATTGAATTACAAAACAACACAGATGATCTATTTTCATCAATAATAACTTTAATCTAGACCAAGAGTAAGAAGTTATATTTCTACTTTGTACCTTTTACTAAACTGGAAGGCACCTCATAGTTTACAAGGGAGAGATGACTAAACTCATAAGCTGCTGTCTCAATGTCCAAACACAAATATTATAACTGACTAAAATAACGACAACGCTATACAAGTTATGATTGTTATTAGGCTTAAGCTTTAATATCATTGTTTATATCTGAGAGTAAAAATTTTTACTGTTTGCCTTATAGGAAATCCTTCCTATTAATGTACTGAACGAAACAGTGATTAAGAAACGAGATTCACTAGGCACAGCTCTGAAAAGTTGGATTATACGAGTTCAACTTCATTTTTTCTTCATATGGTATGGATGTGCAGTTCAGTTCGAACGAGTCATGTGTAGTCACTACCGAAACCACGCTTTGGAAGATGTAAAGCTGTAGATATTCCTACCGTTTTCAGCAGTAATTGTTTATCCTAATTATCTTAACGGCGGATGACACTGGTGATACTTGACATTCTTTTCATACTGAACAAGCGTATTCACCGAGTATGCTTATTATAAACACGGATATATAATCTACATATTGGAGATCACCATGAGATACCGAGACTTGAAAGTTATCAGGAAATCAAGTATCTGTAGAAGGGACGCAGCTTAATTTAACACCATGCAGAGTCTAGCATGCCTTTCTTTTTTTGTTTTATGGGTATATATTATTTTTCACACAGATTACTAGTAATTGCAACCCTGCTAATTGTATCTAAAATGTAGAACCTCTTCCAGACTGGAAACAAACTGAGTGTGTAATGATGCGAGCAGTATCTATACCATCGGTGAAGCCGCATAAAAAGAGGCAACAATGAGAGATGATGATCTGAACTCATACTAAGTCGCTAACTATGTAAATGACCATGATAGAACAATTGATGTAGTTTCCCAGTAGCCTTTAAAACCATCTATCAAAGTCGCAATGTCCTGTCTGCTGCGACCTGTAGCAGAGCCATATAACTATGAGAGAACACAGATAAATATGTATTGCTACATAGATTAGAGGCCACTTTGAAGAAGTGTCAATGCGACTTATTTATCAATCGCTCCCGATGTACTCGGGTTATACTTGGTAGAAATGATTTCACATTGAGCGTCATGACTACCAGGGCTGCCACAATATTCTTCTGTTAATAAAAATCTGAAGTATAGGTACGTGTATATGCGATGATCTGCGGCGATAACATCAATCACAAAGTCTACTGCTGGTGAAGGCTTCTCCTACTCGGCCAGTCGAGGAGTACTCGCATAACGCATAGCAGTCAAAATAAATCATCACCGACGGTCCATGTGATGAGTTTCTCTAGAGATCAATACTTTGACTAACTGCCTCAGTCACGTCACACACGAACTGAGAACAACCATAACACAAGCCCTACAAAGGCTAGTAATGCAGCAAGTGGTGGATTGAGTAACTCTAAACATCACACATAGGTGGAATGTACACATAGTTTTAGACTAACAATAATGATAAAACAGTAGCAATAGAGGTTTGACCCTAAAAGGTTACACAAACGTGAGTATAGTGTTAAAGAATATAGAAACATGAAATGTAGCACAACACTCTATCGATATAAAGAGTGTTCTGCTATAAGGGGAAGACAGAGCTATCTAACTTATAAAGAATACACCGAGGGACAAATTCCATCTATATACCAAGTACACGACTTTATATGGGTGATTCACCATGATCACTGATATACTATATCTTTGATTATCAGTGGGTGAGTCTTTTAAGAGGGAGTTCGATATTTAATTTGATTTATGCTCTAAGGTGGGATGTTTACTCAAATTAATATCTAATCGATTGTAAAAAAAATATGAAGTTTCAGCAATATATATTAAACAGTAACTAGGGTCTTCAAAATGAAAGGGAACAGTGTGATTATCTTAACATATTTAGTCAGAGTCTTGAAGATGTAAAAAGTTGGAGTAGAAATCAAACCTTCTATATAAGGCGCTACAATAGTAGAATAAACAGTAACACGTAGACACTTTGTAAAATGTACTTAGAATTCGAACAAAACACTATGTTGAGAATAAAATGTGCATAATTTGTATGTGATTTCATAAGGTAAATATTTAGCTACCTTCTCTATATAATCAAGGAACAAAATCTCTACCGGCTAATAGGAAAGTAAAATAACTTAGTAAAGCGTAAGGTGTATATATGATATTGTTTATTTTCACACAAAAACGCATGTGGGCAGACATTATTTGTAGAAGAATTAAACAGCAGACGAAATCAATGCAAAATACTGAGAGTGATCATTTCCAGATAAACCACTAGCGATATAGCTCTAAAACTAATTGTGAAAAGAATTTAATATTTATTTTGATACAAAATATCCTATCTTTGTGACCAATCGAGTTGGAAAAATCATCTTAAAAAAATAGCTATAACATAATGAATAAAACATAACTTGGAGTAGAGGTCGCACCTTCACCTGCTTATTGTTGTTGATGATCTCATTAGAGCGAGAGGTGAAATGATAATAGGTCATTATCGGTAACTTCTCTGAGGATAGAGTACACAGTGACCCATGCTGGTGCATTTTAACATGTTAAGTATGTCATTTCAAAGCACTCTTAGATAGTTCCACTAGAGCTAGGACATTAAATACATAATTGTCTATCCTCTATTGGAGACGCACAACAGAGACTATTGAGAATCTTACTGTGAGTATCTTCTCCCAACAGTTCACTACAGGTCGTGAGACAACAGCGATAACCACCTAGGTAAGAAATATGGTTTTATTGTCGAGTTTAATTTATACTGGTCTTTAATGACAAGAATTATAAACAGTCCATGGCAAAATGCCATAACCTCTCCATGGAGATGAGATAGCTACCAGCAGAAAAGTTACACAATGTATCTTTAAAATTGTGCGTCTTTAAATTTAATCAAATAAGTTCTATAAACTAAAACTGGAAAAAATCTAAAGACTTTTATTTTACTTTAGCCAAAGCATAGGAAAATTATTTGCTTTGAAAGGGACAGTTCTAAATTTTGGACATAGGACCTCATTTCCTAGTGAACCAGAGTGTTGGAGATGTGTGGAGACACTTTTTAAAATATTCCATCCAGTCCTTGTATTTGCAGAGGTCGCTGGTGCTAGGCTAGTGCATTTCAATGGCCATAGTATCCTGCCATTAAAAACAGTCCCACCCACAAAAACAAAAAGCAAATCACTATCACAACACAAAAATCTAATTACAACAGAGTGTCGACGTAAATGTCTGTGTCAATAGAATAATTTTAGAAGTAAACCCAACCTTGCATTTGAAGAATATGTCTGAGCAGCAGTGAGTTGTACTTCCTAACAGAAAGCTAGGGCAATGGCGGACTGATATATGAGAAAATAGTCCCTCAACATGCAGTGATTCATGCAATGTGAGATTAGTTTTACCTCAAACATTATTCTATCAACACATCAAGACATATATACATCGACAACCTTGTGTAATAATAGATTTTCTTCGGGTGTTTTTGTGGAGTGGGTAAGACTGTTTTTAGTGGCAGGATACTGTGGCAGTGTCTCCAAACGTCTCCAACTCTCTGGCTCACTAGGAAATGAGGTCCTATGTCTAAAATTCTGAACTGTCCCTTTAACCCATATTTCACCCAACATGGTTAATGGGCCTATATTATGCCATTTACTGATCTTTGTTATAATGTTGTTTCCTTAACGAAGACACACCTGGAGTTGTTTTATTTCATTCACACATTCACACAACACAACAGTCCTGCATATTTAGGCTCAGTTCTTCTCTCAAATGAAAAACACCTTGTGACGTCATGTGGTAATACAGGAAGTGCTCAACTGCTCAACTAAAATCATTTGGATCATTTCAGCCCGGGAATTTGTAATTTTTACTGAACTAAAAGTAAAAGGTAGCTGTTAACTTGAAAACTACCACTTCTTGACATTACAAGGAGGTACGGAGCATTTGTGCTTTAGAGATGTAGACAGACTAATAATAAAGAGTTGCTCAGACATGTGTGAATGAAACAAAACACAAAGGTATGTTTATGTTGCAGTAACAACATTATAACATGGTTTAAACATCACAAATTTGCATGATATAGGAACATTAAGGCAGCCACAGTGCAGTGTCTGGGGAACGCTGGCATTCACAAATATATTTCAGACTCTTAAAAAGACATTTATTTGAAAAGATAATTACAAAAGTCCAGTGTAAGATAAGAAACATGCTCAGAGTTTTGGTCAGGCGTGGTGAAATGGCGTGAGAGGGTCAGTCTGTTTTCAGGGTCCGTGGAGGCTGTGGTTTGTAATGGGAAATGATCTGTACGAGAATGAGGCAGTTGATGACTAAGAAGAGCAGCCCAGCCAGCCAGATCCACAGAAATGTGTTGTGACCTTTGAACTCCAGGAAGTAGGCCGGGGCCAACCAAACGCCCTGGAGACAGAGAGGAAATTATTAAAGGGTTGAATTATGCTTCATCCTGAATTTGGGATAGCATTGTATTTGTATTTGAAATTCAAGTAATGCTAATGGTTGGAAAATGTGCACTAAGGATTTCTGCTTTGTACAGATGTTGATACAGAATCCCGCAAAACACAAACTATATTTTTCTTTATTTATATTTTACTTACATATACATTTTATATAATGCCATATTTGACACCAGTCTCAGTACTTATTTAGGACATACTATCACCATTTATACATTTTTGCTCTTTGCTATTACATTAGATTGTTGAGTGTGAGCTACAGTGTCCAAATAATTTACCTTGTGGATTAATAAAGTTTAAGTCTAAGTCTAAACAAAAGACAAACGAGGCACATAAATATAATAAAAATATGATTATAAAAAAATAAAAATAAAAACACTGAGAAAAAATGGTAATAGAAATAAATAAAAAATTATAAAATAAATAAATAAATCATTCAGAATCCCTTACTTCAATTGCTTACATAGTAGGGTTGAACGATTTGAAAAAAAAAATAGAAATCTAATTGTGATTTTTCTGACAGCATTGTGATTGTGAATAGAGTTGCATTTTGTATTTTAATAATAGGATTCTGTTCAAAGTTTACATCCAAGAGAACTGATAAAAAGACAGAAATATGAACTGACAAATTAATACAAGAATCACATTTCAGAACATGTTTGTACAGATCTAAACTACGGAGTTTGCAGTTTTTATGAAGAATAAAACAGGAGGTTTTGTTGTTTGTGGAGGAAATTCTGATATTTAAAAAACTGCAGTCTTTGCATTTTGGTAATTATGTCTATTCCAATTGAAATTTTGATTCAGTTGTGATTAATACTGCAGCCCTAACAGGATCTTTTGCTTGTTTCAATAACTTAAATACGAAAAATGAAAGGTAGACATGAAACTGTGCATTGTTTTAAGTTCAGAAGGACATAACCTCACCAAACCTACCTCACCAATGTCACCAAACGAAACAAACTGAACTGGCATAAATTAAATATACAATTATAAAAAACGCACATGTACCTGTCCTGTAAACCAGAGCAGCAGCAGCCCTAAGCCTTGTTTCACTGAGAGGCTGAGACGAGGAATGACCAGAGGAAGTAAACACAAGTACCACAGGAAGTACTGCAAATGAGAAAGTACACAAAAGTTACAAACTGTGAAAGAAAATTGTCCATTAAAGCCATAGAAGGTCAAAAATACTTTTTTCCTTTTTAAGTTATTTTTATTTGTACTTTGCAATTTCTCTGTTGCTATGTTTGTTTCTATGTTGTTGCTGCCGAACTTTAAATTTTCTTCAGGATGAAAAAAATCTGTCTGTTTATCTGTTTACCTACTTACTGTAAGCGAGCTAGCATTTGCACAAACCTGACTCTTATCTGTCCTAGAGGAGAATCTCTTCCTGCTTATTTCCCTGGAAATGTTGTTCTTTGGTTATAATCTTCCACACTTTGACATAAAACTTAACTTTTCATTCGATCAAGCAGTTGTGTGTCATCTACGGAAAGTTACATATTGTACCTTGAGACGTTCAAGAATAAGATATTATTGCAAAATTCAATCAAAACAATTTGACTTACTAAACTTTTACTGTAAGTCCAGCTGTTTTGATTTAATTTCGTGATAATATTATACCTTGCAACATGTCTTATTTGTATTTATATTTTATCATTTTGCAACCCACACGCTGTTGTACCTGGAGTGTTGTGCCTTATCTACCTGAGAGGTGCAGACTTTGTTGAATGACACAAAAACAGCAGTGTTCAGGAAACAGCAGAATGCCAAATCTGAATGAAACACCCAGGACATGATCAACAGGAGCAGGAGCTGAGGGAGGAACGCTGCCAGACCAAGCCACTGGCTCCACCTAGTGTCTGTACAGAGAACAGCCAGGGAAAAAGACAGGATTACATTAGGTACATAATGTTTTATTATTACTAAGTATTTATCATATTATACTTAATGGAATAAGAATTAATGTTTATTTATTGAGTGATTTTTTATGTGGGTTTTGTTGAAATGTTATGAATAAATGTTTATAATAATATTCAGTAGACTGTACCTGCAGTGAGATAAATCATGTAGAAGTATGGGGAGAAGTTGTGTCTGATGTCACGTCTCGTTAAATGATAAAGGTAAGTCTCATGGAGAAACTCCCAACCATACCTGCAAGTACAGAGGCATAATCTCTCAGGGCAGGAAATTAAATACAAACTTACTTAGGCTTTTTAATTAGTAAAACTAGGTACAAATATTAAAAAGTGGTTTGTAATACAGTTGGAGTTGTATAACATAGTATTTGTAACCACAACAAACAAAACTAACTTTCTTATTTTTGGCATCTTAAAGGTGGATGGATTACATTTTCCACAGTACAACATTAGCATTTCAGCATTTACCATATTTAATTAGCAATATTTTTTATTTTTTTCAACAACATGACCATGCTCACCTCTCCACAGATTTGATGTATAACTTAGTCTGGTAACGCCACCTGTTTGACCAGATATGTTTGACGCCATACTGTGACGGATACTAGTGAAAGCATGAGTATTTGCAGGTGGTGGACAACGAATCGGAAAGTTTACATAACACGCCTTAAAATGTATCCTTTATTACTGGTTCAACAGAAGATCCAAAAACTCTGATGCAAGTATGTTTCTAAAGACTTACATGTGATAGAAGAGTGCAGTGAGAATGCAGAAAACTCCTCCTGAAACAATGGCAAACAAGAACAGTTGCTTATTGACGAACGAGGTGATGAATCCTGTTAAACTCCTCCATTTTGATGTAGTTTTGTGCTTTTTTGCTGTCGTCTCCCTCGTTCGTAGAGTTAAAACGATGGGCAGGGCGTATGTCACTGGATAGATCTTCATATGAACAGACAGGCCAAAGAGAAGGGCAGCACACGTCAGATGTCGAGCTGAAAAAATAACAGGAGAGAAATAAGAAAATGCTATTTCAAAGTATTTTTGTGAGCCCAAATTCATAATAGCAGTCACCTCGCAGGGCTTCACAATATTGTTGATTTAACCAACAGAAAGTGAAAAAAATCAAACAGTAAAGCTACAACAGTACGAAAAATGAATAAGGTCTATAATTATCTGAAGATACTAAACTAGATTAGGAAAGGGTAACAACAGTGTCAGGAATACAACAGTTCTACAGTCAACACCTCTTTGGTTAGTGGGCATATGCTTAACTCAATGCAGCACTGTTGTTCTTAAAGTTAATACTATAACTTGAATTCAAATTTATTTTTATTCACACTACAATTTCCAGGAGCTTCTCTCCAAGGTGATGCACTGAAGTAGCTTTGCCTAGACGCTGTACATATTTTTCATTGACTGTCAGCTATGAACCCCTGATAGAACAAATGAAAAATAAATTAAATGTTATACTGAGGAACAGAGCAATATCCTCCATGGAGGCAAATAGGTGGCAAAAAAAATTATAAAGTGTACCTTTAAAATTCTAACAATATATACACATGGAAGAGTAATTTTTAGTTTAGGACTTAAATATTAATTTTGTTGCATTTATGAAACAATATATACTCTATTTCTACCTTCCATGCAGAGTAATGTTCCCAAGACAAGAGCTGCCAGTATCGACTCTGCATTCCCCCGGCTGGACACTCCCATCGGCAAAGGGTTCAACAGCCACAGGGAACTAACAGCAAGAGAAGTCTGAAAAAAAAAAAAAAATAATTTATAAAAACTGACAATAATATATAACTGTTAACAATAACGGGAAAATGAAAGCAAATACATGTATTGTTCTTACCTCAGAGCTCCCGCCCCTCAGTCGGAGTATTTTGTAAATGAGAAGTCCTGATACCACGTCACACAAAATGAAGAGGATTTTACCAAAAGCCATGAAAAGGTAAATGTTCGGAGTGAGCATCCAGGCGAGGACAGGAGTGTAACGGTACGTGGATCTGTTGTAGGGAGACTGGCCCTGAAGAAAACATGTTATTCTGAATCTGAAGTAAAGTAAAGGAAGCGCCCTTGCATAGAGGCTGTATTTATTTATTTATTTTTTAGCACAAGAAAAAAATAAATGAACTTAAACATAATGTTGGATTTATTTTTGTTTTTATTTTATTTATTGTATTTTAACTGTGTAACTTTTCTGTCAGCTCCATAGAGAAGATGTTATATCTTTGCCATATTCTCCCAGATAATGGCATCAAACTTATCTCTATGAAAATAGCCACCCAGTCAGTTTACAGGTCAGCTCTGTGGAGAGGTGGCCTCGCTTACAGAAACAAAGCATGTTTGTCCAAGGTATTTCTGAGCAATTACACATCTTTAGGCAAACTGAATAAATGCAATATAAATGCCACACTATGGAACATTGCAGCCAAAGCAATAACATCTCTATGGACACAAACTCGTGAACATCCCCCCACCAGAAAAGGCAGCCTCATAGTGCAGTCAGATGGAATGTTGCATAGAGATTAGGCATAATAATAAATTACATTGTTTACTTAAGTCTGATAGTATTACAATAACAGTCAGGCAAGCAAATTAACTAAACTATTTTAAACATAATATACTAGTCTAAACTCACTGTAAATATTACACAGTTATCCGTATTTGATCAGTATTGTTTCTTACCTGAGTAATAAACCTAGCAGCATCTGTAAACACATGGTAGTCTATGTCAGTGTATTTGACCACCATTGTTTTGTCCTGGTAGTCTCCATAAAGCACCAGGACCAGCCTCACAACGAAGGACACCGGGAAAAGAACACGTTTCTCGTTCAGTTTTGCGATCAGTCTCTCCATCTCCTCTCCAGTCAGTCCAGTCCAGCCAGATCCAGTGTTAAAGCCAGATTCAAACTAAGAATGCAGTAAAAAATACATTAACTATACCCCTAAACGAGCAGCAATCAGTCTTCACGGGTTTTGTTTACATTCCGATTAACGTTTTAGTAAAGTTGTGAACTTAAAGCGTAAATAAATTGGAAAAAATTTACATTGTTTGACAGCTAAAGAAAGTATGAGCAAACCCGGAAGTTTACAGTGGCACGTGTCTTCTTTTACGTTATATTTAAAAGTCTGACTCGTACGTCATAGTGCCACCTATTGGACTGGGTTGTACATCTCTGGATAAAAGTGGTTTTCAGGGATTAATTTTAAAGGTGTATAATTTGGTGGTATAATGGTGGTATAATTATTTATTTATTTTTATTTTTTGCATACTAGCTCTTCTGCTTTTTATTCTTCAGGGTTTTTTTGTTGTTTTTTTTTAAGCACAGATTTTTAAACTTGAAATTGGTAAAAAATTGGCGAGTGGAATTGCAGCCTCACAAAGGGTCGTGGATTCGAGTCCAGGGTGGGTCAGTGAACCATATGGAGTTTTCATGTTCTCCCCATAGACTGAATTATGCTAATATTATAGAGCCTATATATAGTCTATTATGATCTATAGTTATCCTATCTCTGTTTACCTTGTGTACTTAAGTCATCTGTGCAAAAAGTTCAAAGTAGCCTTAGCCTCTTTGAGCCTGGAAATACTTATTTATAGTCTATTAGTAAATTTTTTTGTAATTTATATTCCTTGTAGGTCATCCAGTAGAAAATCTGCCATTAGGGGCTCCCCTGCATTACTAGAAATATTTCTTTTTAATTTGTGCTTATTTCAGTAAAAATGGGCAAAAACATTGTGCCCATTTAGATCATGTTAACCTAACGTCTCAGATGACTTCTTAAGTTAGTTCCATGATTCATTTATGGCTGATTTTCATAACTCCCTGTGCAACATACACACAAGACAACTGTTATTTTTATTGCTCTCACTTTAAGTAGAACATTAACCAGGTATAACCACATCTGTTTACTGCCCATAGTTAACAAAGGTACAGATCTATAACAGTCAACGAAAGGCTGCCTCAGTTTTGCTAGAAATTACATTTAAGATTTTCAAACCACACTTTAATTCACACTTATTGCACATTATAACTGATAATCTGGATAAATACACCAATGAAATAAATGCCAGGCAGTGCAGTCCTTTAATGTCATTGCATAAAATCCTCTATGTGTGAACAACAGTGTGTTGGTATACATACAGGTAAAGTGCACATGATAAAACACAAGGCAGTGTAGATGAATTCTTTGAGTGGGTGAACGCTATAAGATAAAGAGGGCTGTTTAGTAAAGGCGTACAGCATATAGTCAATAAAGTCATACATACAGGCCAACAGATAAGATGAAGCACCCATACTTTACAATGCAAAACCTCTCCATTTGTTCAGTGATACATTCAGACAAATTGTGTAAACAGGTTAAAGACAAGAACAGTACTTTTTTTTTTTTTACATTTAATTTGACGTAATATTAAAAATGTTGGGATTTTAGGACGTCAAAATGTAATGGTTCTTTCAGGGTTTTTCCAGGGGTTCTTCGAGGAGTGCATATTACTGGTCAACTGTCCATGATTTTTGTTATTTGCAATGTTGTTTTGTTGCTCATGTGAAATTTGACATTGTACGTGTAGCATTGTAAGGCAGCCATCTGTTTTTGGTAACTTCAAAGCTAGTGCAAAAGTTGAAAAGAATATCAACAATTATAGGAGTTTAAAGGCATGTTGGTGAAAGTTGCTGAAGGCTGGTGACTGATACATACATAATGCCAGTGGTGGAAGTAGTACTTAGTTTTGTTATTTAATTAAAAGTACAGATACCAGACCAAAAATATACTCAAGTAAAAGTAAAAGTATCACATGAAACAGTAAAAATGTACTTAAAGAGTAAAAAGTAAAAGTGTTTTGCTCATTTTGAGGTCTGAATGTAATGATTTTGATAAAGATTTGTCTTGTTCAGGAACTGAAACAATCTTTTTTTTTTCCTAGTTGTTTTTATTTTCGTTTGCTCAAGCTACAAATGTGTTCAAAATAAATCCCTCCACCTTTTCAGCCTATCTCAAATTATAATAAAAAAAATGCTTTTACTTTTCGGTCCTGTTCAAAAATGCATTTAATTTCCCTTTGGGGATCAATAAAGTATTGTTTATCTATCTGTCTGTCTGTCTGTCTGTCTGTCTCTAGTGGAGTAGAAAGTACACATACCTCCTCTCAAATATACTAAAGTAAAAGTCAAATGTATGCACTTAAGTAAAGTACATATACCTACATTTTTTACTTAAGTACAGTACTTGACTACTTTTATTTTGTTCCATTCCACCACTGGATAATGCAAGGTCTAGAGCAAATGGATTATTGTACAGTTAGTTCCAAATAATGAACTAACTTTCCTTTCTTGGGTTTAAGTGTTTGCTAATAGTTTACTTTGGGGAGCAGAATCTTCCAGCGAACAGGACAGTGTTGGAGGCGTTGTGTCTGATGAAGAAGAGGTAGGGATGATCTGCGATGAAGCGGGCGGGCTGGCTACCCACTGCACAACCTACCATCATCGTAACTGCAGTGGCGGCAGCGGCCTCAGTGCCTTTTTCATTCACCTCCACGAAAGCTTTGTGCACCACCGCAGACAGAAACAGGTCATTGGCTGGAGACATGCCTGAAAGAAATGATAAAAAATATACATTAAAACTTTGTACTTCCGGCTCCATTGACTCAGTCTACTATTCACTTTGTTTTGAGAAGCTGTCGCCCTCAGTCTGTAACTGCTGCTGTCAGGCTCCTCATTTTGGTCTTAAAATATTTGTATTAACCCTCTATATGATCCTGGTGTATTCTGTCTGCAAATTAGTTCCCATCCTTAATATAGAAATCTGTTCTAAATTCGCCCAGTAACTGCTATCCTCTGTGAGCTTCATTTGACTGGAGCTGAACACTGTGGGTGACGTCACGCTCCCTTTGTCCACTACAGTCTGTGCTTATACCTCATGGGTTTTACTCTTAAATAGTTTCTTTGATCTTCAGTAAATCTAATCTAATAAAGAGTTGATTATTTATTCATTTAAAATTATCTGTCATATTGTAGTTCTGTTGTGTCTAGTAAAGTGAACGGTTCCACAGTTCCAAAAAGCATTCACAATCTATTGCACAGACTAATGAACTGTCAGTCTGTTTTGGTTTTGAATTGTTAATTACTTATTATTATTTTTATCACTTTGAAACTGGACCAAAGAAGGGCCATGGGTTGGGTTATTTTCTTACCAGAGAAATCACTGCTGCTGATGTCGAAGGCGTCCACCATGCCCATACTGATCAGCACGTCTTTCAGGTCATAATTCTCCTCCATCTTGAATCGAGGGAGTCCCACCTGCACCTTCACCTTGGCCATCATGTCAGAACAGGTCCACTTCATAAAGTTCTCATAGGTTAGCTGCTGCTCAAGCTGAAAAATACATAAGGAGGATTTAGTCTTTGCAGCTAATGTCATCAACATGGGAGTGTGAAGCTAACTGTGGGCACTGCTCTGTTTGAAGCTCTGTTACTCAAGTTACACTTAAATGTGCATTGTGTAATTTTTCTGGTGGAAGGTCTTTATCTGAAATGTTTCACAGTATGGCTTTCGATCATGCAAGCCTGATCACATTCAGAACGTCTGTTTTTCTGGGTGTGGCAGACAGCAGGAGGCACGCTTACTTTTTAAATCACCTGACGCCAACTTCTAGTGCCAGCAGAAGTCGGGTTTAAATAGGCCACGCAGCAAAGAATAAGTCCCGACTTCTGCTGTCTGATGTCAGGTAAGATTTTAACGATCTCCTTCATTTTAATTATTTTAGCTCTTTTAAGCTGGTTTTAATGGGTTTTTAACTACTGGTGGTAGATCTTTCCCCCATGTATTGGAGATTTTAAGGTAGGACAGGTAGTTTTTAAACTAAGGGTTTAACATAGTTTTAATTATTTTAACACTTGTCTGTCCTTTTATCGCAGGATTGGTCTCTTACTGTTTTGTTTTTGTTTTTTGTTTGGTTAGATTTATTTATTTTTATACTGTTCATTTTAAAGTTACATTATATATTTTAACTTTGGCTCTACTGCACCCTAAATAAATAATGATTTTAATAATTGCCGTCCCTGGGCTTTTAGCTTTAGCTTGCTTTAAGTTCCAGGGTCGTACTTAGCCTATACCTTTTTGTTTGCACTTTGGGTTTTTAAGTTCTTTTGTTGTAATTGCATGATAGCACTTCCCGTTTTGTTCTGGGTGGGGATACCCCCTCTCAAGTCGTCCTTGTTTGGTTGATTTGTAACATTTATTTCTTTTTCAGGACTGGATTCCTCAACTCAGAGGCTGCAAGGTTTTATTCTTATTTTAGTAGAGTTTATTACAGTTTTTCTCTGTTGGTTTGGCTCATTTCTTGAAACAGAAATGAGATTCTTAAAACTATAAGATCATTTGGCCAAACAGTCTGATACTTCTGCACAACATTACAGCTCACCAGCAAAAGCTCATATCTCTCCCAAAACTGTTCACACCTGCTTCAAAGCAGATTCCTTTCCCATATAAAGAGTCAGGACCATCAAAATTGCAAAAATCCTTCTCAATTGCTTTGTCTTTTTTGCATTCACTTGCATTCACAGTGCTTTTGTCAAAAATAACCTGGATGGTTCAGCACAACATCATGGATCACCTGCAAAAGCTCAGATCTCTCTCAAACAGTTTGCCCATATGTCAAAAATTCTTTTCTCATAGAAATAGTCATTGACCACAAAATGCATCGTCCCTTTGGCCTTCTGTGAGCACGGCAGGTCAAAATGGTTAGATGTTTTGTCACTATGGCAGAGGTCTAACTAACGCAATATAAATATGGATAAAACTAAAAAAAAAAAAAAAAAAGGATTTCACAGTAAGAGCAGCCTCCAAAGTTTGACATCACACACTGCACTCACACTGCCAACAAAACTAACCATTTTATTCACACAAAAAGTCACTTCCACAAAAGAAAATGTATACATTATTCTGTACATGTAGGAAATATTAACACAAACAAAAAAGAAAAAATATATCTGGCCTACAGTGCTGTAAATAAAGCAAATAACACTTTTTTTTTCCTGTAACACTTTCAGTGGTCGTCGTTGCTTCCCTCCCTCTGACAACTGAAGAAGTTGTTGGAGGGAAGAAACGGTGCAGATGTCTCAACCATCCCCTCCCCTGTGATATCCTTACATGCACCATCCATTCCATGGAGCAGGGACCTCTGGACAACTCAACTGGACTGAGGAAAGGACAGTACAGTGGTAGTAGCTCCATGAGCATGTTTAGATGGGAAATGAACCAGGCCTGATGAATGGGCCACGGTGGAAATTCACATTGTCCCACACGGTCACATAGTGTGATAGGAAGTTCTAATTTCAACTGACTAACAATTACTGTCATGAATTTATCAAATGTTCCAAAAAAAATAAAATAAAAAAAACATATGGTGTTCATGGTGTTATGTTCTTGACTAAATGTGACAACTGAACAGACTATTGTTCATATGATGACTTGGACAATGAAATCACGCTGACATGTTTTGGAGAGAACCAATTAGATTGAGAGTCAACTCATCAGTTTAGATCAGCAAGGTCTGTTTATTTGGAAAATGTGCGAAACGTGGGCTCATTGTGCTAACTGTAGGCTACTTGAACAGAACCATGTGCAAAGATGCAAAGACATTTGCAATTTGATTAAATCAATGAGAAATGCCATTCTGTTGTGAACGACTGCAAAGTGGTTTGGAGATTTGTCCATGTTGTTTTGAAAATGTCATGTCTGTTTCAAGAAAAGAGCCAAACCAATGGAGAAAACCTGTAATATTGGCCATTTTATCGTTTTACCCACTGCCTGTTTTCTTTTTGATAGAAATAAATCATTTTTAATTATTACTTGCTCCTTTTAGTCTTTTAATGAGTTTTACTTACATATTTTAAGTCACGTCTCTCATGTTCTTTTATTTACAAACTTATCTGTGGCCTTGGGCATTTTATGTGTTTATGTATCTATTGAAAACGGTACCTTAGGTCACATGGATGTTTTTGAACTATAAAACCACCTGTAATAGACCTTTTTCACAATGGCCGGAAGTGCCCCGTTGTAGTGTTTGGCCAACTTCCAGTTTATGCTTTTCTATGGCAAAATATATCTGGAAATGTCTTGCGTGTTTTCCACCAACTTCATAAATCTGCCTCATCACCAAATCTTCATCCAACAAGGTTGACAAAGGACATATTCTGTCAATGCAGAATTTATCCACAACTATCAGGGTAAGAAAGACGAAAGCTTCAAGGCGAACAACGACTAGCATTAGTAAACTACTCCTGAGCAAGTAAGAAGGCCCACTGCCATAAACTGTACTTACATGATCTGATAAAAATAAAGAAATAAATAATTAAAAAATGAAGGGTAATGAAAGGAAAAAAAAGAATGATCATTAATTACACAAGTAATTATTCTTGCCTTTCTTTCCCCTCTTCTTTCTCCTGTTTTCTGTTTTATTATTTACTTACTCATACAGAGACACACAAATACACACAGACACTTGCCCTCCCATATAAGAAAAACAGAAGCCATTCTTATTGTCTCGTCACCCCCTTCAAACCTTAATGTAAGCACTCCCTATTCTGTAAATATAACTTCTAAAAAACAAACAAAAAAGTATAAGTTGCCCAGCCAGCACTTTGTCATACCTTCTCCAGACCATCTTCAATACTGCTGGGCAGAAAGATGAGCATGCTGAGCTCATTTCCTTCGTAAGGCAAAACTATAATCTGGTTTATAGAGAAATAATGTTACTTATAATGTCAATGCAGACAAAATACTGTATAAAATATATTATACAGGATTAGAAAAACTTACCTGACAGTTGATCTCACTGATGAAATTGAGGGGGAACCAGGATGTTTGGTGCATCATCTTCACTGGTTTACTTTCATTCTGCAAAAAGACAAACAGCAAAGTTCAAATGTAGTTCACCAGAGCCTTAAGGCAGATTTTCCTACTCAAATGGTATATGCATATTGTTGGTTGTCCATAACATAACACTGCATATTTAAAGACACAGTATGTAACTTTTTAGCCTAGACAAAATAGTTTTTAAATTTTTGTTTTATTTATTGCATTGAAAAACACCATCTGTCTTTACTCAGAACAGGCTTGCATCTCCACAAACCTGATGCTTAAATGGCCTGTAGTATGTTTTTAAGTTTCTATTTCCATGGAATGATGCAAGCGATGTTATAATTATAATATTATATATGTGATGTGTGAGTTACTGTGTCCAAATAATTGCTTTGTTTCTATATTAAATATATTTTGCATATATATATATATATATATATATATATATATATATATATATATATATAAAAGATATTGCAAAAAATGCTTTGTAGAACCCTAACCCCTAACCCTAAGTTTGTCTAAGTCAAAGTCTATGGCACCTCCAAAAAAGTTACATATTGAACTTAACAGTCGTCATTAATTACAATATAATGGTATGCTACCAGCATATAAGCATATAAGCTTTGTAGAATAATGTGAATAATGTCATGTTTATTTCTTATTAAACTAAATCAGTCTAAATGACACACAATTGGAATGAAATGTATTTGGTTAAAGGTGCAGTATGTAACTTTTTGATTGAACTTGCATTTGTACAGATACAGGAGGTTTTATTTCTCAAAACGTGCATGGTTACTATGAGGGAACCAAAACAAATTTTAAACTTTTGTTTTGTTGTCCAAACAGAACTCACCTTGTTTATCCAGAACTGATCATCACAAGTAGAGTCTTCATCAAACGGTTCATCCCAGTTTCCTTTGAAGTAAATGGCGTTGACAAGAACAAGGCTTGTCGAGCTATTCACCATACCCTTGGCTACAAGGTCTTTAATTTTATCTGAGAAAAAGTAACACATTTAAAAATATTAAAGGTGCATTGTGTAATTTTTCTGGCAGATGGTCCGTCAAATGCTTTTATACATGGAGATGTTGATTGATTTGTGTGGAATGTTTCTCAGTATGGTATTAAACCTTTTTATCTTCATGGAGACAAAACTAGAACAAGTAACAGGTCAGATCTGTGGAGAGGCAACCCTGGTAATTTTGAGCTAAAACTACCTGTAAATATAAGGTAGAGCTGTTTAATGTCATACTGTGGAACATGCCAGGCAGAGTAATGACATCTCCACAGAAACAATCAGGTGACGGACCCTCAACTGAAAAGTTAAATAGTCAATAAAAAGTGATGTACCAAAATTTGCAAGAAGTTTTTACCTTGTGTTTTCTGCTCCACCCACTTGTTTATGGTGACTCTGGCCTCCTCAGATTTCCCTTTGAAGTCCACAGTCTGCAGCTCTGCCTTGTAGTACTTTTGAGTGGCTCCCAGAAAATCCTATGTCAGATATAAACAACAGATATGTGATGTGTGATGATAATGAGTAATGATAATGTTAAAATAAATAAATTAATTAATAAATAAAGGTCTGGGAATCACTTGGTTCCTCAACATTCGATACAATACATGGCTCACGAAACAATATATAATCACAATATAGAGATACCAAAAACACTCTTGTCAATATATTGATACTACAGTCCATGATAACGATTCTGCATCACCAAATTTAGTATCACAATATATTGATATTGTGTCCCTGCTTGTATTGACACACACCTTAACAAACTGGAAACTCTGCTCTCCATACAGTTTGTTGGCGACGCTGAGGGCATAGGGAGCATGAGGTTTGTGAAACTCCTGCAGAAGAGTGCCAAATCTGGAGTGCACGTCATCGGAGAGGTCTTTAGTTTTGAGGCACTGTGGACAAATAAGAAAACTATTTAGTTTAATATTAAGAAACAAGACTGTTATGTCCCCTATATCCAACAAGGGACACAACGTGTATAAAACAACCCTTGAGGCAAAGTCGGTTTGGCAAACTTTTTATTTTACAGCCAAACATTCATTAAAGTGCACAAAAAATGAACAAAAGGTTGGTGGGAGGAGGCGTGGGCCAGTTGTGCCAAATCAACAAACAAAAAGGTATACCAAAACAGGCCCTAACTGAAAACTAGGCTACAAAAAGGAAAGAAATCAAAAGCCTAGCCTACCTGGTCTAAAAAAGAGAATTTGGAAAACTCAAAACAACAAGGGTGGCAACAACTGATAACTAATGTGTCTAACAACAAAAATGTACGTGATGAAGTGTACAGGGGTCCCCAAACTTACCTAACCAATCCTCCCAACCAAACAAACCTGGGCTAGCAGCCATATACACAGGGAGAGAGAGAGAGCAAGAGGCAGCACACAGCTCCTTTTAAACAGCCCTCTCCACCCTGATTGGCAGCCAGCTGGCCAATCAGCCCAAGGTTTGGTCCCACCCACAGCACCTGAACACACAGGGCAGAGGAGAGAGCAAGAACACAAACCAAACAAATGCCTGCATGTAACAAAGACAATAGTTTGATATTTAAAGGGCTCATATTACACTATTTTGTGATCTATGTTATAATGTTGTTTCCTCATCACAAACATACCTGAAGTTGTGTTTTTTTTCATTCACACATGTTTAAACAAACACATCTTGCATATTTTGGCTGTGTTCTTCTGACAAACGGAAAAAACTCTGTTCCACTTTATGAAGTCAAGTGCTCCACTGTGTTTTTAAACACCATGACAATTTAAACTCTATGATTCTAGCCCTAAATTTGCTCATCTTTACTGAATTAAAGGTAAAAGGTAGCTGTTTACATGAAAATTATCACTTCATGACATCACAAAGTGGAACAGAGCATTTTGAACTTGGAGATGAAAACAGACTAATAATAAAGGGTTACTCAAACATGTGAATGAAACAAAACACAACTTTGGGTATGTTTATGATGTGGTAACAGCATTATAACATGGCTTAAAGCTCACAAGAATCAATTTTATGGCTACAGAGAAATATAGCAATAAATGATAATACTGAAATTACTTTATGCCTTTGACACAAAAAAAATAAAGTAAGATAATTCCAGGAAACAATTTTGAAATTGTTTGTATCATTAAAAAAACTCAGCTGGAACAAATCTATTTCAGCCAGGTGGGATATGGGACAGTGTCATATTTAAGACTCATGTCCACCTCTCATTCTTCCTGGGAAAGGCCAGAGTGACTCCTCTCAAACTGACCACCATCCCTAGGCTCGTGCTCACAGCTGCCGTCCTCGCTGTTCATACTGATCAAATGCTATAACAAGAGTTACATCTTGAGTTGGAGCAATCAGTTTTTTGGAACAACTGCACCGCAGTCTGATGTACAGCAATGAAATAAAGAGATTTCACACCTTTATCTCGCTCAACAGAGAACATACTCATGTTGACCACTGGAGGTAAATGAGCACTAAAGAAAACCCAGTGGACGAGGCTTCACGAGAAATGAGAGCTGAAGACTTCATGGAGCACATCAGATGGATCAGTGGGCCTCAGTTTCTGCTGGATGTACACTATGATCCTATCCTACTGATGACCCTGAAGTGAAGAAAGATGTAATAGTCAGTGCTGTTGTAGAGGAGAAAAGTCCCACTAGTTTCCTCCTCTCCTACTCTTCATCCTGGGTGAAGTTGAAACAAAATGTGGCTTGGTTTTTAAAGGTGAAAAAGCTACTCAGGGTGCTGTCTCAGAAAAGAAAGGAGCTTTCACATGTCATAAAATGACAAAAACGCTAAAGTGCAGAATGTTGCACAAAAATGCAGCAGTTTAAAGGCACAGTAAAAGGACTGAATATTTAACATGTGAAGATCTGGTTAAAGCAGAGCAGGCCTTTGTTCAGTTTGAGCAGCATCACAAATTCAAAACTGAAATCTCTCAACTCAGAGCAAACAAGAACATCTCTGAAGAAAGCCACTTGTACAGGCTGGATCCAGTGCTGGAGAATGGAGAGCTCAGAGTGGGCAGTGGTCTCAACAAAGCAGTTGCCTCTGGAGACCAAGCACGCTGCTATCCTGAGTAACAATATGCATGTCAGCATTACTCCTGCGCTATGTTCATCATCAGCTTGGCCAAGCAGGAAGAAATTACATGCTGCATCACGGCTAGATAATTAGTGCAAACTCTGCCAGAAAACTCCTGTCTGAATGTGTCACCTGCAGAAGAAACAGAGGGGAAAAATGGCTGATCTGCCCATGGAGAGAGTAATGCCAGACAAAGGTCCATTCACTGATGTTGGAGTTGACTATTTTGGCCCCATCAACGTTAAAAAGGCCAGGACCCTACTCAAAAGATATGGGGTGTCTGTCCATTTGGAAGTTGCATATATTCTGTACGCTGATACAATACAGTCAGGAGATTTGTTCATGATCCAGTCTCCTCCATCAGATCAGATAACGGCATCAATTTTGTGGGAGCCAACAGGGAGCTTGTTCGCTCGGTGCAGATCAAGACCAAAACCAGTGTTTTTGAGAGGCCAATGACCAAGCTCTGTCTGCTGCTGGATGCAGCTATGGACTAAAGCTAAACTCAAACGTCCATCTCTAGTCTGCTCTCCTATGCTCCATCTGTCCTATTCTCTTGCAGGTTCATCAAGAAGAAAAAAGATGTAAAAATTCATTTAAGGCTAATGCACTACACATAAATTATACTGACACTGCTTTAAAATAGCACCTAGTTCAGTTAAATAGTTATTTGCTTATTTGGTTTATTCTAAAATGAGTGTATTATTTTTGTTTCTGTCAATTAGTTTACTAATTTAGCTTTATTAATACGCATAATATATTTTTGCTATGTTAATATTTCTTATGTTATATTTCTTATGCTCATATATTTAGTCTAATTTGCTATGATTTACTTTAGCACCTTTTCTGTTTTTGGTCTCGTCCGTGGTGCACCTAGGGGATAACGGTGGTAATACAGCAAGACCTGAGTGCACCTGGGAGGGCCTATGGTTGGAGAGGCAGCAAATGTAGGCTTGATCATGTATCCTTGATATTTGTCTGCAACACTTGGAATAAATCTTTGAAAATGCAGCTCTGGATCTGGACACTGATTTTGTTTTGGGTTTTTTTTAAATACTGTACTGCGTAAACTACATACCCATGGTGCCCAATTTGAGTTATGTTTAGTTCTAAGTTTGCTCACTGTGTTAGTTTCTGTTGACAAATAGTCACTACAAATTACCTATTCTATTTTAAAATAATGCTAATTGTATATGTATGAAATGTATGGAAAAAAAGGCCCAATCATAATTTCTGACATGGTTTACTCAGTGACTCATGGGCTGTGTGCATGTTACCTCTGACATCTGTGCCGCTGTGTTGCCTCGGGCCCCAAGGAGGACCATAGACAGAGCTGAAGAGATGCTCAGAGGAGAGAAGAAGACATTGGTGCAATGATCATTTTCACCCAGGGTTTTAAACAGATTCAGGGCAAAAGTGATGTTTGCCTTGGAAATAGGAGTTTCACTTGCCATGGTGTCTGTTGCAAAGAAAGCACAGGTGTTAGATTTAGCATAATATGTGAAATAAATAAAATAAAACTTTTCTGTGGCATGTATTTTACACAGTTTAGATTCGGTACAAATAGTTCACAACCATGTAATGCCATGAAAACCTATAAGTAACATTGCCCAAAACATATTGGTCCTTAGATCACTTGACCTAGCAAGCAGAATTATGAATGTAATTGCCAGCCAACCACTAATCAGTTTTACTCTTAAATAGTTCCATGGTTTTGCTTTACAATACAACATAAACTAGCATTGTTCTAAATTAGCTAAACTAGGTAGCTTTCCTGTGCTGTTAAGAAAAAAAAAGGCAACAATTAAAGCTGCTCGTGGCGATGATGGACCCTCCCTTCCCAACAGCCTCCCAGGCTAACAGATCCTCCACCAGACAAATTACACAGTGCACCTTTAAATATTTTTGGGGGAGTCTTTGTGCTCCTGCTGGCCAACAGTAACAAATGCACCATGTCCGTAATATATATATATATATATTAGTGTTGTCAGGCGATTAAAAAAATTGAGAGATTAATTAATTATGATCTGTAATTAATTAATCTAATTAATCTCTTTTTAATCTCACCTAAAAATTGCTGAGAAAAGCCTTCAACTTGAGGTATTTTCATTTAAATTCATTATTACATTATTATTATTACATATAAACCATGAACACTCTAGAGCCACATCAGCTCGTTTGAAATTATAATGTGTTTAATGCTGATTTGCGTAAGTCTCACACAAACGAAACTTAAAAACCGCATGGCTAATTTGCATAAACTAAGCGAGAGAAAAAAAAAAAGCTCTTGTGTCGCTGATGCGGTTCAGCTTTTGTGGGACTGAAGGACACGACTCAGTGGAATATGAGTGTTCTGACAGTGTTGAAGGTGAAGGTGAGTCTGTTCTGTGTTTGTGTCGTGATGTTTTCAGACGTGTGCAGGTTTATCGCAGATGCAGCGAGAACGAGAAAGAAAATCACAATTGTTTGCGGAAGCGATGTGTTATTGTCCCAACAACACATAAAAACAGATTTTATAATAAGGCAACTTGCGTACAGAAACAGTAAAGTTAGAGATTAAAAATTAGATTAACGTGATTAAAAAACATAACGCGCTAAATATGACTGTAATTAATTAATCGCAATTAACGCGATAATTTGACACCCCTAATATATATATATATATATATATATATATATATATATATATATATATATATAATATATGGTAGGGGGTGCTATAATATTCACTTTTCATATACTTTATAGTGTATTATAATCAGACAGAGATCACGCATTAGTGATTCAAACTTCAGCATGATGAGACAAAGCATGTGCGTGTAATATATTTTTTTTATATTTTTGGGGGGAGTCTTTGTGTCCCTGCCGTCCAAATGTGAGAAATACCCCATGTCTGTAATATAGTTTTTTGCTTGTGGTCATGCATAGAACAATGCATTGGGCCGATAGAGTGCGCTATGGCCTTCACTTTTATTTGATTTCATATTTCATTACATTCAAGCCGGAATCCTGCAATTGTGATTTGAATTTGAGCTCTCTAGGCCAATACCAGCATCAAAAGCATATCTACACAAAAACTATGCCTATCGTTTGTGCTCCGTTTGTGTTGTTTTGTGCTACAAAAAGATTAGTTTGTGCTGCTTTAGTTTTGGAAATATTACCGATTCTCTTATAGGTCAAATTGGGGTCAGCCAGCCCCCCAGAAAGCTTAAAAATGCTCTAAAACAGCCCAAAATGGTGTCAATTGTTTGTGCTTTGTTTGTTTGTGCTGTTCTTGCTGCTAAAAGTTTTGTCTGTGCTAATCTAGACACATACGCCACAGTCATGTTTAGACCCCGGGGCTTGGAATGCACCAATTCAAGTTTTAGCTTGTCTCATTGTTCTCTATGTCACTGTCCTGAATTTCGTTTGCTTATGCCAAAATATGCTTCTTGGCTGCGCACAGACTTCAAATTTTTGTGAATTTCAGGCGGTGCTGTTGAGTCGAGTCCCTTTGGGCATTGTTGCAATGCCCATTTTATCAAATTTTTCGCCAGACAGGTCGATACCCTGTTAGGCCGGGCGTACACTGTGCGATTTTTGACCCTTTTTGAGCCGATTTTTCGCTCGTGCGAGTGTTTTGAGGATCGGGCCGAGTTTTGGCTTCATCGTGTGTCGTGCTTCGTGTAGTTTACATGGGGTAAAGAGAACCGATTAATGGCTCACGACCAGCTCCCGATCGACATTCGTAGGTCGCAAGAAAATCAAACTTGTTTGAAATCCAGTCGCCTCTCGTGAGGATTTCGCTCTGTTGAAGTTGTTCCACGAGCCGATTTGCCAGAATCTGGCAGACTGCGCATGGGCGGACACAGAAGTGGCTCAGCATTGTGTCTCCGCACATCTGTGGTTTTCTAATTCCGTGGTTTTCTTCTTCATGGTTTTCTACTTCCGGAACAACAACAACTTTGACAACTCTGGTCGTTATGTGAACGTACACTGTGAGCAGGCAAGTCGCATCCGAGCATCGATTCGTTCAGTGTGAGAACATGATTCGTGAGCTGTGAACTTTTAAACCCTGTGATTTGGTCATACAGTTTAAGCTGGGGCTGAGTGACACGACCGAAAATATCGCACAGTGTACACCCAGCATTAGTAGTTACTTTTCGTTGATGTATAGGCCCTCAAAATCGCAACAATTTGCAAGGAAATATAATAGTAAGAAACCTATGAAGAACAATAACCCTTGCCAGTTACTTCATACTGGCTCGGACCAATAAAAAACTAAGCAAGATGATGAGGAAATATTCAACTGATAGGTGACTTAAAGGTTGTATGGAGGATTTTTTTTTGTTTCAAATTGTCAATGATAGATTATAGAGAGATACAGTAACCTTGTAATTATGATGACTAAAAAAAAAAAGAATAAAAATTCATCAACTCTGGACGTGGTGGGGCCAGCTGAACATTTGCCAATAGATAACGACACTGCCTCATTATCTGTTAGCTGATAGGCTGTCAATCAAAGTCACTCGCTGGATTTCTCATTCCTTGGAAAATCCTCTATACAACCTTTAAGGCTTCCTACCCTTCCTGATAGTGAAGCCTGATCTTTTAAAATTTGGGCAGCTCTGAAACAGTAAGGAAACCTCCTGTAAGTTGAATAATTCATTATTACCAAGTTATAACAGTAAACAGAGAAGCAACATAACTAACATCCTAACCTACTACGTAAGTTCCACAAATCAAAGTAAATGTACAGCTATACACTGAAATACACCACACATCCACTCACCAGCTGTGTTCAGAAGCCTTGCAGACAAACTTAAGCTTGAGCCATCAGTTTTTATTACTGAAAGATACACCCAGTATGACACGCCCTTGCCAGTTTTTTCGTACCGACTCGTGCCAATAAAAAATGAAGCAAGATGAATAGAAAAATATTCAACTGCTGAAATGGTATGGTATGTTATTTACTTGATCCATCAGTTTTAATTTTTGAAAGACACACCTGGTATGTGACAGTACAAGTTTTAGCTTGTGTTTTTAGCATCTGTCACTGCCTCCAAATTTAGTTTGCCTACGCCAAAATATGATTCTTGGTTGCCCATAGACTTCATATTTTTTGCGAATTCCAGGTGGTGCTGTTGAGTCAGGTCAGTTTGGGCATTGTCACAGTGCTCATTTTATCAAATTTTTCACCAGGCTGGTCAATCCCATAGACAGATTGGGGACTTTTCCTCAACTTTTAGGCCCTCAAAATCATGATCGTTTGCAAGGAAAAATACTAAGAAGAAACCCACAAAGAACAATAGTCAATAAAAAACTAAGCAAGATGAATAAGAAATATTCAGCTGCTACGTAATTTAAGGCTAGCTTTACCCTTCCAGATAGTAACACCTGATCTTTTAAACTTTGGACAGCTCTGAAACCTTAAGTAAGTTGAATGATTCATTATTACCACATGATAATTAATAAATAGAGAAACAACGTATAGGCAACGCAAGTGCTACAAATCAAAGTGAATGTACCACTATACACTGAAATACACCATGAATCCACTCACCAGCTGTGTCCAGAAGCCTTGCAGACAAACTTAAGCTTGAGCCATCAGTTTTTATTATTGAAAAATACACCCAGTATGACACGCTCTTGCCAGTTATTTCGTACCGACCGACTCGTGCCAATAAAAAATTAAGCAAGATGAATAGGAAATATTCAACTGCTGAAATGGTATGGTATGTTTTTATTTGTACAGGGATGGGACACAATAGTACATTAACCAACACAGAAGTCATAGGAAAGATGCTGGTTCCAGGTTAAAGCATAGATGCTAATTTACATCTGTAGTCCCTGAGCATGTTGGTGTAAATACTAAAATGCAGATTCAGTGTATATAGATAAATTGACCAAAATAAATTAAAACATATATTACTTAGGGTTAAAGTATTGAAATACTATTCTAAAAACAACATACACCAGACACACAATGACATGGACCCCTCCCACCTTGTATCAAGGCCCAACATTTGCGCACACACACACCCAACACACCCACACACATTCTACATTCTAGTAATTATTCAAATCATACTCATTCGTAACGTGTACAAATTTGTTTACAGATCAACCACTCCTTGCTCAGACGTGCAAACACATGAAAAACTAAAAAGCAGAGGCCCGAGGATCGAGGGCTGTGGCACCCCCATTGTGCAGCTATGGAGAGAGGATAAGGTGTTGTTTGCTCTCACACATTGCTGTCTCCCCCTCAGTTACAATGCAAACAGTCTATTGTAGATTGTCCTATTTTATTGAGAAGAATACTGTGGCTTACGGTGTCAAATGTCTTGCGCAAGTCAAGGAAGAGAGCTCCAAATACTCCACCCTGAGCTAGACTTCATTTAATTTCTTCAAGTAGCAACATGCTGTTTCAGTGGAATAATTCCTCTTGAAACCAAATTGCAACAAATTTAATAAATCATTTGCATCAAGGTGTTGAGTGAGCTGTTCAGCTACAACCTTCTAAAAGACCTTAGACAGGGTAGGGAGTATACTTATGGGCTGATGGTTACTGACCTCTAGCTTATCTCCTGAGATGTGCACAGACGTGACAATGGCAGTTTTCAGTGTTGTTGGAAAAATGCCTTCGTTGAAAGACTTATTTGTAATTTAAGTGAAAACTGGAGTTAAAGTTGTTTGATGTTGAAGACACTGTAGAGCCCATGGATATCTTTAGCTTTACTATTATTACATTTTATGAAGATTGTTTTCACTTTTGCCTCATTAACTGGTTTCAGTCTGAAAGTAGGGACATTACATGGGGGAGACTCAGAACAGGAACATGATATGGGTTGTGCCAGTTTGCAGACTTGATAGAACAGTCTTTAAATAATGTTGCAACGACATGACTATCATTTTGGACACCACCATGTCTACTTTGAGCTGAAGATCATTGCAATTGCTTTTTTCTTTCCCAAGGAGTTTGTCCATACCGTTCCACATTACTTTACTATTTCTTTTTGCCTCTTTTATTAAGTCAAGAAAAAAATTCTGCTAGGCAATTTAATGCTAGCTTTACCCTCCCTGACAGTGACACTTGAGCTTTTGAACTTTGGACAACTCTGAAACCTCCAGTAAGTTGAATAATTGATTACCAATACAATACATTACATCAATACATTACCACCAATACATTGCCATGTTATAATAGTAAACAGAAGCAACATATGGGCTAACATCAAATCAAATCAAATCAAATCAAAATCAAATCAAACTTTATTTATAAAGCACTTTTCATACAAAATGCAACACAAAGTGCTTTACAGTGATTAAAAACAGTCCCGCATTTCCAACCACCCAACCACCCACCCACCAACCCAACCCAACCCCCGCACCCCACCCCAACCCCACATAGTCAAACAACCCAAACACACACTCACATACACACAAACATGCACACACACACACACACACACTCACACGCTAAAATACATAACCGGACACAATAAAATGTGAGGCTGAATACAGGCGAACCAGTTGAGAAAGCACCATCAGAGGAGCCGTCTGCACCGGGAGCAGAGAGACGTCCACCACCACCAGGAACCACCACAGGGTCCAGGGGAGAGATGAAGCCCAGGCAACTGAGGCCCAAGCACCATCCCTCCACCAGGAGCCCACATGACAGACCCAGCAGCCACAGCTGACCTCCACTCCCGATGCAGAGGGCTCCTACAGAGGAAACACTGGAAATCCTAAAAAATATGCCTAAGATAAATAAGTAAAATGTGTACAATAAAAACAAGTAAAAGTATAAGATTTCAATCAAAAGCTAAGCTAAAAAGGTGGGTCTTGAGCCTACTCTTAAAAACATGAACGTTCTCTGCAGCCCTGAACTCCTCCGGCAGGCAGTTCCATAGACGAGGGCCATAGTGCTGAAAAGACGCCTCTCCGTGAGTGTGTGTCCTGACTTTGGGAATGACCAGGAACCTGCTGCCAGAGGAGCGCAGGGTCCGCGAGGGTTCGTAAGGTAAAAGCAGTTCTGAAAGATAAGAGGGCCCAAGACCATTAAGACATTTAAAAACCAGTAAAAGAACTTTAAAATCGATCCTGAAACACACAGGGAGCCAATGCAGTGATTTTAAAACCGGTGTAATGTGGTCCCGCCCTCTGGTCCTCGTCAGGACACGTGCTGCTGAATTTTGTAATAATTGCAAACCTGAAATACTCTTTTTGGGAAGACCAGAGAGAGCAGGGCATTACAGTAGTCTATTCGACTGGTGATAAAAGCATGCATCAGCGTCTCGGTGTTGGCCAGAGAGAGAATGGGGCGGACTCTGGCTATGTTTTTTAGGTGATAAAAACCAATTTTTGTGATGTTCTTAATGTGTGGGATAAAAGTTAGCTCAGAGTCAAAAATGACGCCCAGGTTTTTCACTAGAGGAGATGGGTTAAAGGACTGTGTTTGGAATTTGGGTAAAAGTTTCTCTCTCTGGGCCTCAGGACCAATGACTAAAACCTCAGTTTTGTCCTGGTTAAGCTGGAGGAAGTTTTCTGCCATCCAGGACTTAATTTCTAGAATGCAGTTAAAAAGGGCATCCATTGGTCTGGTGTCATCAGGAGACATGGAGATGTAAAGCTGCGTATCATCTGCATAGCTGTGGAAGTTGATTCCATGTCTCCTGATGACACCACCAAGCGGGAGCATGTACAAGTTAAAAAGCACAGGGCCTAAAATGGAGCCCTGGGGCACACCACATGTGATTTTATGGACCCTGGAGGAGCATGTGTCTACACTCACCATAAATGTTCTGTCTGTGAGGTAGGATGTGAACCATCTGTGAACAGCACCTGAGAGGCCGAGGTGTTTTAGGCGAGTTAAAAGAATAGTGTGGTCTACTGTGTCAAAGGCAGCGCTCAGATCCAGTAGAACCAACACGGTTACCTTTTGTGAATCATAATTTAATCTAAAATCATTTAAAATCTTTGCCAGGGCAGTCTCGGTGCTGTGGTTCACCCTAAAACCAGACTGAAATTTTTCCAAGATGTTGTGATCGTCTAAGAAATTATTTAGTTGGATAAAAACAAGTTTTTCTAAAATTTTGCTTAAAAATGGTAGGTTAGACACTGGTCGGTAGTTGTTAAAATCATTAAAGTCTAAATTGCTCTTCTTCAGCAGGGGCCTCACCACCGCTGCTTTGAAGGCAGAGGGAAAGACCCTCGTCTGAAGAGAGCAATTCATCATAACATCGTACCATGCTACGTAAGAGCTACAAATCAAAGTGAATGTACAGCTATACACTGAAATACACCAGCTGTGTTCAGAAGTTTCACAGACAAACTTGAGCTCAAACCATCATCAAACCATCATTATTGACACACCCAGTATGTGCCAATGCAAATTTTAGCTTGTCTAGTCTTGTTCTGTGTCACTGTACCAAATTTTGTTTGCCTATGCCAAAATATGCTTCTTGTCTGTCCATAGGCTTGGAAGTTTTGCAAATTCCAGGCGGCGCTGTTTAGTAGGCTTACTTTGAGCATTGTCGTGATGCCCATTTTATCCGAATTTTTGCCGGGCCGGTCGATCCCATATCCAGTTTGGGGACTTTTTGTTGACCTTTAGGTCCTCAAAATCTTGACCGTTTCCAAGGAAAAATAATAATAAGAAACACACAAAGAACAATAGCCCTCACCTGTTACTTCGAACAGGCCAATAGGCCTAAGGCCAATAAAAGACTAGGCAAAATGAATAAGAAATATTCAACTGCTAGGCGATTTAAGGCTAGCTTTACCCTTCCTGATAGTGACACCT